CAGTGCCACGTCACAGTGCCAGATCAGCAGTGCCACGTCACGGTGCCAAGTCACAGTGCCACGTCAGCAGTTCCACATCACAGTGCCAGATCAGCAGTGCCACGTCAGCAGTCCCAGGTCACAGTGCCACGTCACAGTGCCACGTCACAGTGCCAAGTCACAGTGCCACGTCACAGTGCCACGTCACAGTGCCAAGTCACAGTGCCAAGTCACAGTGCCACGTCAGCAGTGCCACGTCACAGTGCCAGATCAGCAGTGCCAGGTCACATTGCCACGTCAGACATAGTGCCACGACAGCAGTGCCACGTCAGACAGTGCCACGTCAGCAGTGACATCCGACACAATGACACGTCAGCAGTGACGTCCGACACAGTGCCACGTCAGCAGTACCACGTCAGACACAGTGCCACGGCGCGTTGCCTTTCGACCCTCCTCGCCATATCCAGTGCTAGCCAACACTCTTCCTCCACTTTGGAGGGAGATAGGTCGCGGGCTTTTTCTCTCTCTCTCACAGCCTCTTCTTCCAGCGATCTCGGGTTGTCTCTCTCCTTTTCCAGATATCTCTGCGCCTCCATGTCCCGTTGTCTGTCTCTCGCCTCTTCATCTCGTTGTCTCTCTTCTTCTTCCATGGCTGCTTGGATCTCCCATGCATAGCGTAGCTGTAGTGGTACCCCTACGGCCCGGCAGTGAGGTCGGACCAGTTTCAGGCCGTCGGCCTGACCCTGGTCCGGTACCAGGTTATCCCGCACCTGGACCTAGGCCGGTATATCACTTTGGCCTAGGTCCAGGGCGGGAGTTTCAGTCATTCAGTTGTTCATTCTTTCGTGGAGCCAGACTGGACTTTCACTCAACTGCTGCTTCTCGTGTATGTCCATCTCCTCTCTCTCTTCCTCTCTCACACCATCTCCGCACGTGCCTCCTGCACGTCCGCCACATTGGTATCAGAGCAGGTTTCGACCTCTGCTCCGTCCCTCCCTCCCTCTGTCGCTATCCCGCCGTCGCGGGTAGCTATCTCCAAGCTCGTTTTTGCAGTTGCACCTGGTCCGCCAACGCGACCAGGTACGTTCTTCATCCAAGCTGGCGCCTTTTTCCTCGGCAAACCCCACGACGGAGCTACTTGAGATGCTGAGGTCATCGTACTGGCCGCCCACACCGACTTGCTGCCACGTGTACCCTGGCTCGCTCGTCGCTCCCACAGATTGAATGGTCTGTGAAGTGTTGGCAAAGCGGCCACTTCAGCGGGTAGCAGTCAGGCTGTGAGAGGTTCATCGAACCTTATCAGTGGGAGGAAGGAGAAGTCCTAACAAGGTTTCCACAGGTGAACCTGCGGAAGGATCATCGACATCGACACAAGGAGGGCCGACTCCCTACCACGTCAGCGCCTCCTTCCCCTCTGGTTCCCCTCCTTCCCCCCCCCTTCCCCCCCCCTTCCCCC